GCAGGCTTAAGAAAACACGTTGCATGAGGGAATCCTGCACTTTTCTTACAGCTGCTCCCTTACAGCGTAGGAGGGCAAATCTTGACCGCTTGCGGCTTGATAGGTCCTTGCCGCCATGATGCCTCCGGGAGTATAGCTTTTATGCCTCGAGGTGGTTTCGATCCCCAAACCTATACACCCCAGCAAAACCTACAAAGATCCGCTCGTGTATCAGCTATTGCAGGCTCAAATAAGTGATGGAGTTTCTGTGCATTAGGTCCGGCGCCTGCGATGGCGACTCAGCTGCCTGTAACACGGTTGGCCTTTGCGCGGCGGCACATTCTTAAGGGCTTGGGTGCTACTGCTGTGAAAGACATTTAGCGGCTTTTCGTATGTCTTCGGCCAACAGATGCTGATGAAGGGAAGTTCTTGAATCGCACATGTGGACCCAGGCTCTAGAATCGTTCTGTCCATCAGGGCTGCAGCTTTCCAAACACACCGGTCTGTATACAAGACGGCTCTAACCCGCAACTTGCTGAACTACACATGAGGTATTATCAAGATTGCAGATACATCTGCACGCAGTCTTGAATTAGCCCCACTATCTGTTATTGACTGTGACCCGTATCAGCAGGTCTGGGCCGAGTCCGGGCAAGGCTTGGGATCTTCAAGCTTAAACATCGGGTCGAATAGAAACGAGGGTGAATAAGCTGCTATAACAAGGCCTGCTGTGACGCAACCTATTCTCTGTTAAGCAATGTCTCCATACTGGGGCGATTGTTTGTGCATAGGACGCGAGCACGAGAGACCTACCTGAACCCTCAATCCGAAACCCTACATCCTAGGCCCGAAATCCCAAGCCCTGAGCCTGAACCCTGAAGGCGAAATCCTCAACGCTACAAAACCCTGAAACAACTCCATCAAAGCGCTCACCTCAAAGCTTTTGCCCAATTTTGTTGGCCAAACTTAGCTCGACGAGTAGCTCTGCATCCTCCGCTTCGCCTTCAGCGCTCTCCTTGGAGGCGGGTGTCCAGTGCCCCAATAGACTCAACAAAAAAGGGTGGATTCGGAAACCGCTTTTCTGCTTGAGAGCCTTTTTCCTGAGCAGTGTTTCTTCTCTGCAAAGGAGACTGCAGGGATTCGGGCGATGAGGGTTCAGGATTTAGCCACCGGATCGGATGGATCTAGTGCTGAAGGGCTTCCTGCAATCATCGTATCTTCTCCGAAATCTACAAGACCTGGAACACACGAAGAAGTCTAACACAGGCACCCAATGTTTGCATGGATGTCACATTGTTCAACCTTTAGGGTATTCAACCTCTGATCGAACCTCTATGTACGTGACAGTGAACTGTAGGGTTGATACACAAATTGCATATATTCCCGCCGCAGGCAGCTGGACCAAACAGGAAAAGCACAGTAAATGTCCACATTCATTAGCATGTCCAAGGCCGAAACCCCCAAACTCTGAACCTCACACGGTGCCCGAAGGCCCTTTCAAAGCTGTCCAATGTTTCTTCGACCCGACCTTTTCCCCCTATCCGAGCCTGCTCTGAGGCGTCTTGCGACCCAAGACTCTAATACCGCTAAGTGTCCATGACATGTGGATACAGATAATAACAGCAATCGTTCAGAATAGTATCACCACTGAAAGGATTGCACGCAACAGGCCTGGCCTCGCCCTCTTCTTCCTCGGGTGGGTAGGCCTGTTCGGGCGCCGACTCCTGCCCACCTCGCAAGGACTTCCCGCTCTACTGGCCGGTACGGTGTGGTCAAACTGCCTCCGCTAGTTGAGAATGATATTGTATACGGCTTTGGGCAAGGTTCAGTGTGCAGGAAAAAGGAATTCGGATCGAGCGCTTGGGGTTCAGTGCTTGTAGCTGTTGGGAGTTCAGGTCTCGCAAGTGTGCGCGGAAATCAATGGGCGCTGCTACGCTAGATAGATGCTCAAGAGGGCTGTGGCGGTTGTGGCTTGCAGCTTGGGATCATGAATCAGGGGTTAGGATCGAGACTTGTCACGTCGCCAACTGCGCCTGAAACCCGTAAGTGCTTCCAAGGCAATCCAAACCAAAATCGAACACTGGAAACCTGAAACCAAAACCACACCCAAGCTACACAACCTTCAGCCCTGAACCTTCAACCCCAAGCTACAGAAGGCCCGAGAAGATCGGCCGAATCGCATCCCATACTCTCGGAGTCGTCGGTACGAGACTGGACCAGCGCCAGGAGACGAAGCTTACTCCTTCAAGACACAATCTGAGTCACTTTGAGGCTTCAGGGCTCTGAGGGAACAACTGCTCTTTGGGGGTTAACGGTTAACACTTGAAGGGCCCAAGCTCGGGGTCTCTCAAACACACTCGAGTGTCCGATTCAGGCTTCAGGTTCCCGATGTCATAGAGGCAACATGCTGCGGAATCTGCGGAGCTAAATGTGGTAGCGATGATGCAGCCAAGCTGAAGCTGATTGGTCCTGCTGTGGGGATTGGAACACAGGGCTCAGGACAACAGCCACTCTGGGTTGAGGATGTTCAATTCAATACATGAGGCCTTTTTCCGAGGCTGACTCGCTGGGGCGTTTCGGTCTTCGGGTTGAAGCTTGGAGAAGTGCAGCAGTGTAGGATTTGAAGCAACCGGCAACCAACAATCCCTCCTCCACTGCCTGTGAGCATCTTTCCTTGATTGTTTTTTGAAAGCTCGCCAACTACTTAACTGAACCGCATGACTGGATCTGGGTTGATGTATGCTTGATGAATTAAGCGAGAATTTGACGACAAGCACGCATAGCCTCTTCCGCCGGCGACGCTTCGAAGGTTCCTGCAGGCGAGTTTGATCACTTGGGGAATTTGCGGCTATAGCAGTTCTTTCCTGCAAACCTCACCAGACGAATCTGAACCGCCGCCACTTAAAGCAAGCAAAGGCCATACATAACGAACACTCCCTCCGCAGTAGTGTAACTCCTGTACGGGAAGCATTCAACTGTCTGGGAAGTTGACCTCAACTGAAGACCAAAGAGATGCATAAACCTCCTGGACGTGATGAGCAAACGATTAGAGAACTCTGGCAAAGCCGGGCTCCGAGGTGCCTTGCTGGACGGCCGGTCACTGGGCTCGCTGGGGCGCCCTCGAGCTGAGGCTTTGGATTCAGCTTTGGGCTATCGAAAGACGCTGCGAACCTGTCGCGCGGGTCAACATATGCATGGATGTTTTCTACAGAATCTGCGCTGGTTATCCGACCGAGTTTGTGGGTTTGGGCTGCTGGCCGTGAGATCCAAAGGGGGATCTGGAACAAAATGGTCCGCAGTGGGCCACTTTCTGGTTTGAAGAGCTTTCGGGCTTTGGGGTCGGGTTGGGTTTACCATGGAAAACCCAGCCACAAAGCCTATGATATGTAAGGGTATACATAACATGCTTCCTCATGCTGTCAGCATTGTATGCCCGGGTCGAACACGAAGCGAGTGCATTGCATTCTGATCTAGACACACCAGACACACAAACCATGGACACAACCCCCTGTGTTCTGAAACGTTGACCCTCAACGAGCCGAAGCGAGTCTCAAATTGTTTTTGGATTCCTTTCTTGCAAGTCTTGTGTTGCTGTGTGGCTGAGAGATAGCATGATTGACTTCATGCGGTGCGGTTGTTGAAAGCTGACATCGCCTCGGTCGTGCTTTAGAAGGTAGTCTGACTGCGTCCTTCCACAAGGGAAGACGCTCTTCGTCAAGTTCGCAACAGAAGCAAGGTCTGAAACCCAGGACCTTCGCCGGTAAGCACAACATCGCCAAAGCAACCGGTTCTGTACTTTCGCTTCTCTCCCTCAGGAACCTCAAACATAGTGTAGCCTCTATCCAAAGCAAGCTTAACTTTCCAATTGATTGCATGTATTGCCGAAGCTTCCTTAGGAATCAATCCGAGCTGTCAACCCTCATCTTTACGGCTCTGAGCCCTATTACTTCCGAGAGGCGCGGTGCCGCTAAAGCCGCAAGGCGCCTGGGGATGGAGTGCTTTCATCGGCAGTTCGCGAATCCGGTGGATAAAACAGTCGCTACGGGTTCTCCATGATGGCACAAAAATAGCGCTAACTTCTAGCAATGACGGCAAATTATCCAAAGAACCAGCTTGTACTGCTATTCTAGCTGAACTCTTGACAATACCTTGACTAAGTCTAACTTGATAGTCTCGCCTGTGTTTGCTGGCGATGACGATTCGGGCCATGGAGATTGTCAGTAGGACTTCAGTCGAAACTTACACGACTCCATGTTTACAACCGGAAAGCCCCCTCCCCCAAAACCATCAACATCCTTGAGAAGCCCAAGACTTCTTAGAAGACTGACCTCCTTGCTCGAAGCTTCCCTGATTCAATGCGAAACAATGCTGTTCACATAGTTGGGGTTGGAACTAAATACGGATCCCTTCCGCACCCGGACTACGACTAACACCCCTCTTGCGAAATTCCCTTTAGCGAAATCCCTCGCACTTCTTTTTTATCAGGAGGCGAGCGGTGCCTTTAGCGCGAGCCGCAGCCCGCTGGCGCAAAAGAGGGGGTGAAACGGCCAGGAACTTCTCCCCTCAGGCCTGCTTTGACTCGCCCTAAGGCGGTACTGAGCTCACCCGCGGGTGGTAAAGGCCTTGGTCCCTGTGGCCTTCGGAGCCCTTGGGCGGGCTGGGCGGGACCCAAAAAAGAGGCTTCGGAGTTCGCTAAACGTATCTTGCACACCCGCTGCTGCGAGCCCTCGTGCGTGGAATGTGCTCAGACAGGCCATTAGCGAAATCCCTCGCACTTCTTTTTTATCAGGAGGCGAGCGGTGCCTTTAGCGCCAGCGCGAGCCGCAGCCCGCTGGCGCAAAAGAGGGGGTGAAACGGCCAGGAACTTCTCCCCTCAGGCCTGCTTTGACTCGCCCTAAGGCGGTACTGAGCTCACCCGCGGGTGGTAAAGGCCTTGGTCCCTGTGGCCTTCGGAGCCCTTGGGCGGCTGGCTCGCGCTGCCCAATTAAAGCTCGCGCCCCCCACTTTAAGCTTGCGCCAAGTCACTGGGCAGAAGGGCGTCGCGACTGAAGGCGCCGGTCAAACAAGGAGCTAAGGTATTTGATGCGGCCGTTGCGGCTGGCGAGAGCTGCCTGTTGGAGCAGCAGCGCCCGGGCTTCATCCAAGTAGATGCGGCACGTCCGTTGCTCCTGCCACCGGCCCATAAGCATGGCGGCCTCAAAGTTTTGAGTGCGCTGCCAGTGGAAAGTAGCGCCACCGCGACGCAAGCTGTAGAGAGAAAAGGCGTCCTCCGGCAGAAGAAGGGCGGAGAGCACTTTGCGCACGGCCTCGGCCGGTTTTTGTGGTGGTCAAGGCCACCACCAAGTAGCCTGATGGCAAAAAGGCGACTTGGTTCCCCGTGAGGGAATACATTTCCGCCGAGCGCAGAAAACAAAGAAAATGAATGACCAGCGCGAGGGCGAAGGTCGGCTGCTTCAGCTGCAGCAAAAGTTCAGCCATGGCTTTAACAACTTCCCACGAAATAGGGGCCGCCCGGACTGGGGTGTGGACCCGGCACCAGTTGTTGTAAAATTGCTGGGCCGTGGGAAGTTTGCCCCGAAGGCGAGGCAGGAACCGCTTCAAGGCGGATGGGGCGCACCCTGCCTGCCCCGGGGACTCGCCTTCTTGAAAAAGGCAGTTGACAAATTCTGCCAGATTGGCATCCAGCTCTCTGCTCGACTTTGGCCACAGACTCTCCTGCCGGAGGTAACTGAAAAAGGTGTTTAGTGCTCGCTGATACGCCCGCAAGGATTTAGGGTGCAGCCCCTGGAACCTCAGATGCTTTCTATTGATCTTGATCGAAACGGCGCGACGGGGCATCTGCGCTGTTCCATCCAGAGAGGGTCCAGAGGACCAGGGGCTGCATCTGGGAGACCAGCAGCACTGCTTTGCTGCTGGAGCGGCCTTTGGCGAGCACATAGTAGGTGGCCTGGGAGTCGAGCACGTGGAAATAGCGGACGTTCTGTCCGCCCGGGCCGCGTGAGATGCGCCTTATCTCACAGAAAGCGGCCGTCAGCTCCAAAGTCGTGATGGAGTCTTCTTGGCGGAAGGGATAGGAAGCCACAGTCTTCCACTCCCAAAGGTGGGCCGGGTACGGCACAAGTCTGGAGGTCCCTCCCTCGAGAGGTACTTCAAGGCGAACCTCGGTTCCTCTGTACGATCAGGTAGAACACTTCTGAAGGACTGAGAAGAGCGGCCTGCGAAAGGCCGCGGCGAAGGTGGCCAAGCCCACCCAGCGCCGGAGCATACGCTCGGTCCAGGCCCCCTCGGCGATCAGCGCCAGTGAGGCTTTCACTAGCTTCCGGGCCTTGTCGGGTGCAAAGGAAAGTGTCCCTCTTTCGCCGTCAAGATGTCCTCCTTGGATGCCGGCTTGGACCGCCCCCGCCAAGGCCTTGCCCGCATTGAGGGGAAGACCATTGGCCGCTGGCAGGCCTCCTTGAACCGTGTGTGGTTCTCAGACTCCTCTCCACTCAGGAGGTCGGACAAAGCAGCGTCTACCACTCTGATCTCGTTTAAAGGAGTCAAGGTATACGAGCATGGCGCCGTGGCTGCCGGGAAAGGGCTTGACCTTATTGATCTCCAGCGCACTGGGTATAGAAGCCTTCTTGAAGACGAGGCTCCGGAGGATCGCCTGGACCAGCGTAACCGAGGAGCTCCACCCCATGGGCACCACCCGCAGAGCAGGGCGGGCCCATTCCTGAGACAGTCCCAGGCAACGACCCGGCACCTTCTTCGAGAAAGAGAAGTATCGGGACCAGCCCTCGGGGAGGGTGAAGAGGTTGAAGGCTGAGGTCAAATCCTCAGAGTCCACCATTATGAGCTGGTCCTCTTCCAGGCAGAATAAAGACATCTGCGCCACGTAAGGGAGGAGGTGCTGCTCGCCCGGGAGGTCAAGGAGAAACTCGTTGGCCGGAATGAGGTTCGCAATGAACCTCTGAACCTCTCGGCCGTCCTTGAGCTTCTTGACGGCCCCCGCGCCGTTGGTGACGAAGTGCCCTTGGCTGTCCCGCGGGACGACAGAGTCTTCAACAGCCGTGAACATGCCCCGCTTGAAGCCGGCCTCCACCACCTTGGCCCAGGCCTCGTCGGTAGCATGTACCGCCCCCTTTCGGGCAACGGCGGGTTGCTCGGCCGCCTCCCGCCAATGCCTCTTTGGGTTGAGGACGGCTTCGAGAAGGTCACCCTCTATGAAGTGTGTCGCGGGGCACACCGCTGCCTCTCCTTCCTTGGGCCAGGCGGCGATCACCAACTCAGGGTTGATGTCGGTGATGCGGTGGATCTCTTTGCCGTCGTAGTCAAAGTCCACCGCCTCAAGGAGGTCCCTGGTTTTAGTAGGTTCCCAGGCTATCCTCGTCCGCCACACAGGGCTCCATCATGGCCGCAAGGCTCTGGACCGCGGTCCGTTGTCTTTCCGATATAACCTCGGGGGGGCCGGCAGACAAATCGGCCGGTGCCACCCACAACAAAAGAGGAAATTGGCGGCCATGAAGTAGGCCTTGACCATCCCGCGGGCACGAGGCTCAAGAAGGCCGGCGGAGACGGAGATCGGGAGGATGTCGCTGGGGCCGTCCCTCGCGGTGGGTCCGCCTGGGTGGCGATGGAACAGACACTCTGAAAGGCGCCCCACCGGGTCGGGAAGTTGCGCGAGTTAGCGCACAGCCAGTCAGCAACTTCCCTCCACTTGACCCCCTTGCGGAAGAGGTTCTGGATGTGGAGCAGAAGCCCCTCGTGGCCTCCAGCTTCGGCGAGCCTCGGGCCCCACCCAGTCGAAGTTGTCCTCGCTGTCACCGAGGGCGTCGTATATAGTCCTCTTGGAAATCGAAGGGAGGATCGGCGGCGACGAGGTCGTCCGTCTCCTTTTCCTCCTCCTCCGAACTCTCTTCTTGATCGTCGGCCTCGTCATCTCCCGGGTCCGGGTCCGGATCGGGGGGATCGTCGTCACCCCAGTCGGGTTCCTGGTCAGGGTCCTCCCCCTTCAGGGTGTCGCCTGGTTACTTTGCTCCCGACTTTCCCCCTTTCTTTCCGGAGGCTTTGCCCCCTTTCTCTCCTTTCTTGTCGGGGTCCGCGGTCTGGTGACCGCCCTCGGGTTGGGCGTTCCCCTTTCCCTGAGGATACCACCCTTTTCCTCCCCCTTTCAGCTTCTGCTCGAGCTTCTGCTATCCCACCATGAGCATCGCTTCGTCGGTCTCCACCAGGGTGGAGCCCTCAAAGGCGGGGTCGTCCTTGCGTGCCCGGCACCGAGATTGGGGTTTGGAGCAAAGGTGCATCCAGAAACCCGATCGTTGACATACCCCGGGCCGGCATCCAGCCACCATTGGAGGTACTCGTCAGACACGGCGAACACCGCGACACTGAGCCACTGGCCCGCGGCACCCTTAGGGTCGCTCCCGACTATCCGGACCACCGCAGTTCCCTGCGAGGCGCCGTGTCGAAGACACGTGCCTCGGCATAATCCCCAGGTTGGGGATTCCAGGAAGCCCAGGCATCTGGGTCCTTCCGGAATCTTGTCCAGGGCCCCGGCAT